GGGAGAGAGAGGGAGAGAGAGGGAGAGAGAGGGAGAGAGAGGGAGAGGGGGAGAGAGAGAGAGGGAGACACTGCTTTTCCCCTTAATACTATAACCTCAGAGCTTTCCATATCAGCACATAGAGAACTTCCGCACTCTATTTACAACGACATAATCTTGCAGCATGTGTGTGTACCATAATTGTCCCTTGTTCTTGGATGTGTGAGTTGTTTCCAGTCTACTACTGTCACCAACTAGGAGCCCCAAGGCACTCAAGGGTGAGTTTGGAAGCATTTAACTGTTTTTTCAAATTGTTTTTTTCCCTTTTTGTTATGTTAAGGAGATGCAACCACCAACCACCCTGAACCAGACCAAGCCTCACCACAAGAGCTACGCCCATGACCTTTGCCTTATTTTTTATGCTAAGATCTTTCCAGGAGGAGCTTAGGCCTTATCACCATAACCTGCAGTATATGAAAGCATGTTTTCCAACTGAGCCTGCGCAAGCGAATACCCGCCTCTCCCTTTTGAATATTCATTCCCCATCCAAAATAAAAGGTCCTTGCTTCCCTTTGTTCAGCTTCGCCATCATTTTGGAAATGATTCCTCATAGTCTCCTATTTGCTGCAAATACACTTGACTTTGTGAGACAACTTCCACTGGTGTAGAGTCTTATTTAACTCGCCAGGAGGCAAATCCACTTGGTTCGGTAACACTACTATTATGAACAATGCTGCAAGGAATAACTTTGTACAAAAATCATTTTATATGTGTGCAAGTTCATCAGTAGAATAATTCTCCCAAATGGGATTTCTATATCAAAGGACAAATGCATTTGTGATCTTGATAGATTTGGCTAACTTGTTCTCTATAAGATTGAACCTTTTTTAAATTTGCTTTTAACTTGATAGAATGACACCTCCATCTCTTAGAAGACTAAAACTACCAATTACTATTGATTACAGCCTAACTGAGCTAATCACATCCCCTTAGGCAACAGAAATGTGGAAAAATATAACCTATCAGAATGAAGCCCTTAAATTGAAGTTCTGAAGGGAAGATCAACAGGTCTGAGATAAGAGGGAAGGAGAGTCCACTTTATATTCACTTTATATCCATTTTATATCTAGGCAAAAGAGGGTCCCAATAGAATCCCCCACATTAAATAGGAGTAAGGTGAAAAGAACAGCACGGCAAATATGCAGACTTGGCAAGTAGGCAAAAATATTACAGTAAATAGAAAAGAATATAAAGAAGAATCATAGCATGCAAAAGACAAAATTCCATTAAGACTATGTGCTCTAGAATCAGACTGACTGAGTGTACATCCCAGCCCTGCTATAAAAAAACTGCGACTTTGTACAAGTTACTCAATATTTTTGTGTTTTGATTCATCACGTGTAAAACGGTGATGATCATGGTACCTACCGTTAGGGTTTTTATGGAGATTAAAATGGCTTAGAACAGTGCTCCATAAATGTTAGCGGTTATTATTGTTATTAAAACAAAGAAGCTCAAGAAAAATTTACACAACAAAAGCTTACACTCCAGGATAGTGCTACTCAGAGTGTAGTCCATGGGCAAGTTGCCAGTCTCTGAATTGTTTGGTGCCAGTCTATGACAAGATAAGGAGATTGTGCCAGGATATAAATCAACTACATCATTAAGTCTGTTGTTTAATTCAGCTGACTTTTTTTCATAGCAAGACATTCTTAATGAAGAAAGCAACATGGTTTACATTCCGCGCATGCTTCTTATATCATCATAGACAAGCACTTTGAGAGACAAGCACTGATCTAGGAGACACTAAAGAGAATATGTAATCAATGAAACAAAAATATTAAAGATGAAATAACAGAGTTAGATAAAAAGGGAGAATGTAGACAAATCAAAGACCCAACACCATTGGAAAAAATAGAAATGGCAAAGAATGGAATAAATATGACTCAAAACCACATGAGTTAAACACGGTGGAAAGTCTTGAAAAAATCATATAATATGGAAAGAAAAAAGGACAATAAAAATAAAGCAATTTGGAAAAAATATAACTATGGAGATTAAAAAAAAAGCAACCAGTATAATGAAAACCAATGCATCTGAAATAGAAAATCCAATGAACCTAACAAAAAATTTCAAAGATATGACAGATTCATCACTCTAATGCAAATGATCAGTCTTACCGATTACAACCAGACATTTCGTGCATCCTGATGTAATTCAATATGATGTACACAACATAATGTACGACAGGATTTGCTGATGATGTTGAGTAGGCATAGAATATAGAGTCTGAAGTTTGGGGGAGAGATCCAGCCAGGAGAGTA